AAAATAAAAATAAAGATGACTAAAGGCACGAATGCTGTGATTTTGCAAGATTCTGTGTTAGAAATATTGATGAGTTTTTAAATATATATGCTATGTTTTGCTATTATGGACACCATATTAACCATAGGTACTGTGGTTCCAGCCACTGCTAAAATATTTTTCAAGTACAATTTAACATTTATTTATTAATCCTCCATGAGGAGGATTAATAGAGGGCAGCGACATTTCTTGTGTAACAGAGGGGTAGGATAATTTCCTTCATTATGCCTGGATAACTGTTGCTAAGGCTGCTGATTACCATGCATAAAAAGCTAGCGAAGCCCTAGGTCCTCAAGAGGTACAGATTGCTCCATTGATTAATGACATAATCCCTAGGTGCAATTTGGAAAAATAAAAATCAGATGTGAAGATAACCTTGAAATCATCATGATAATGATGGATCTGTCCTGTTCAAGTATATCACCCTATTTGGTGGCCATTTCTGTCTAGTACTGGATTTGCTTTATTCTTCAGCACTGCATTTGACTTTCAGCCAATCTATGTGGAGTTAAATTATGAAGATGAGGAGGACTGGTGATGACATGCTAAGCATATCATCACCAGTCCTGAAGGTCATGCTGTATTTAGTTGCTCATTACATTCCACAGTGCAAAGCTGCACCAGCTGTTTAATTCCCAAAGAGCACAAACAGGAAGAAAATTCTCTATCATTCTTCATTTCATCTCCTACATACTGCCTTGCCTGCACAGTATACAACCTGCTATGTACAGTACATTATGCATTTGACTACACTTGCTAAAGCTACTTATCACTGCTACCTGTTAGTCTGACTATACCTCGCCTGTTAATTCAGCATCATTAGACAATGGCATGTTAACATTGTATCCATTTAAATGAAATAATATTGCCTGTCTCTCTGACAGTAATCTAACTTATTTTGTATGCTTGGTGATGTCGGAAAACCAGTAACGCTTTGTGAAGCTCTAGACAGCAAGGCAGTAAAAGAAATGCTGCGTGCTAGATGCATTTAGGCATGCTTCCTTCTCTTTCTCTTTAATATATAGATAAAGGGCAATATAGCAGAAATCAATATTGCAGTATTGCCATCATCTTCTGTGAAGGCTGCACCTATCTCAAAAACCTTCATGCAACATTTTAGGGGCACAAAGCATCCATAAAATGCTGTATAAAAGAGAGCTGCACAAAGCACAGAGCTTCTAGCAGCCAAAGAAGAACGAAGCAGAGTGGAGCAGGAAAGGGCTGGGTAGAGATGCTTAGGTATATTCCCCTTGTCTAACATAGACTGGAATCAAGTCACTGCGCAAAGCCGAAGTCCCGAGGAGTGGCAATTGCTGCAAGGCTTAAAATATAACCGACTGTAAGAGCCGGAAACACAGCATCAGGTCCAAAGGGATGGGTGGCTTCAGCAGGTTGCCGTCGAGGCGCAGGTAGCGAAGACGTGGCGCATTTTCAAGATCTGAAGATGCTGCATGAAGAGAGACCAGAGAAGTGGGACATATCCGAGTCCCATTGATTTCTGAAGGCAAAAAAAAGGAAAGGAAAAAAAAACACAGTTAAACAATAAGCTAGGAATAGGGACGTTGCAGAGATCATCAGTTTCATATTTCAGTCTGCTCTTTCAGCATTCATTATTCATCAACTATTGACAGAGTTATTCAAATACAATATTGTATTATTGCAATAGTCCCTTCCACCTTAAATATATTTATAATTCCACTCCTCTGTATAAAATCATGGAAGAAACTTCCCTTGCCTGCAGTAAACAAAGCCTTTCCTATTCAGTTTTTAATTCCCATGGTTTCCCCCCACATTCATTTAATAAAGGGTCTATATAAATCACTCCTATATATTGAGTATCTACAAAAGTCGATAACAGTGAGTGTGAAATCCAGGTATAAAACCAACGTTCTAAAGCTCCTTAGAAATCCTGCAATGTTTTATAATTGTTAGGATGGTTATTTTAACCTTCTCTGTAACTTTACATGTTATAGTCTTTTGTGCTGCTTTAAGATATTAGAAATGTGCAGTGAAGACCAGGGATGAACAAGCTAGTACATGCACTTTCTTTGCTGTAACTTTCATTATCCCTTCCCTTCCTTCTACATACACACTGATGGAAAACTGTAATACAAACTCTTTTGTTTCCTTCATATCTTAGAATTCTAAATTGTGCACTGAACTTTCAGGAATATAAAGGTTCCCTATTGCAGAACTCCCCAGAGTGAATGAAGATGGAAAGAAAAGTTAGCATCATCATCTTTCTTCATATCTATGCACTACAGCCTAAAACACAAAACATTTATGGACTGCCTTTCTAACAAGTATATTTGTTACATACTATACTTACCTGAATGCTTGTCTTCAGGTGTGCATTTGATTCATATTTCATTATTAGAATGCTGTTATTATGAGATCTACATATTCAGAATTTATAAAAGACTTATTAGTTATGAATGATATTGATAGCTCAGAAATTTGCACTAAGCTCTCCTTATAGAAACCACATTGACTATTACTGTGCCTTTACTGTGTATAATCATCTTGGAATCAGTCAAGTACTTTTTGTTGACTGACTGCAATGTGGGGCAAAACTAAGAGAAAGAGACAAATGGGAAGGCCAAAACCTGGATCTGGAGTTTCCTTCTCTGGATAGCTCTGACTTCTGAGCCTTTCACATCGTGCTTATCAAACATGGTAAATTATATAATCTTCTACCCATTATGATGTTATGGAACTGAAGTACAATAAACTTGCAGGACATTATTTTATACAAGTTACAAGATTATGCCGTACTGACTATATAGATCAATGGACAAGAATTCCTATTGAAAAGGCCCACTCAAGCACATTATTAATAAGCGACAGCCATATTGGACAATGACTTTCACTTTCTCAGAGTGGCAGAACCCATATCTACATATAGATAACCAGCCAGTTTGAAGCAGATTCTCACATGCAATAAAAAAACAACAACAACAAGAAGAAAATTATGTTAAAAAGCAAACAAGACTATGTAATAAGCCCAGATGTCTATTTTACACCAGCAGTGCCATACAGATTCCAGCATCTTCACACATATGATTAGAGGCACCATTATGTGTTCTTCCTCTAATGAAATCTATACCATCATCTGCCCCTATGGAATCTACATAGAACAAAAAGGACAAACTCTGCACAAAATAGCAATAGCAACAGCACTTAGACTTATATATCGATTCACAGTGTTTTACAGCCCTCCCTAAGCAGTTTACAGAGTCAACATATTGCCTCATACAAGCTGGGTCCTCATTTTATGGACCTCAGAAGGATGGAAGGCTGAGTCAACCTTGAGCCGGTGAGACTCAAACTGCCAAACTGCTGGCAGCCGGCAGTCAGCAGTATTACCTGCAATACTTCATTTTAACCACTGCGCCACCACGACTCAAAATAATGAATGGATACAAGTTTAACATCAGGATCAAAACAAGCATAAAATAATCACAAAACATTTTAGTCCCTCAGGACATACCATTACAGATTTGAAAACCATTTTGGAAAAAAGGAACTTTAACAGTATACTTGAGTAAGAAGTTGTTGAACTCACATACATTAAAAAAAAATCAGGATATCTCAGAAGAACTCAATAAAATCAAGAGTTTTTAAAAACACGTTATAATTGTTAATGGAGAAACTATTGCTAATCTGTTTTATATGTAACTTGCCTCAGCATAACCAATCTGTTTATCCTGCCCTTTCCCTCCCCCTGCCTTATTCTAATTTAACTCCTACATTAATTTAGCTGCTCTATGCATCTGAAAGCTGTAGTTCACAAAACCTTATGCCTTTTAAATATAAGTCAGTCTGAAAAACTGCTAACATATTTTTGGTTTTATGGTATTTCAGACTTCGTTACTGTTCAGCACCAGTCATGCTGTACCAATGGGCATGCTAGCGGGGTTGGTAACATTTGAAGAATTACAAGTTTTCGCATCAATTGTAGAGACATGGCTCTAAGATAGGAGCACAGAAACTGCAGCTCTTTGGATGATGCTGATCTGTATACCTAAGCACCTTAGCCAGTACAGCTAATGGTGAAGAAACCTATAGAAGAGGTCAAAAGTATTTGTTTCCTGATCTGATAGCATATTCCACAATATTTAGTCCTGTTGTGGCCCCGCTCTCCGACCCTATCTCATCAGAGGAAGAAGGCTCCGAACATGAAGAAGAGGAGTCGGCCAGGCCTCCCTCTCCAGGCCCCTCCCCTCTGGCACTGCCTCAAGTGCCGGCCGAGGAAGAGGAGATTAGTCAGGAGCCAGGTGTCTCTGATGAGAGCGAGGGAGGTGATCTGTCGTTCCTGGATCCACGTCAACAAAGGCATGATAAACGGTTGCAGAAGTTAAGGAGGCATGCCAGGGATTATAACTGAGTCACTGGACCACACCCCAGAGACTATATAAGAGAGTATGGTGGCCATTTAAGACTCTGTGATGGACAAAAACTAACTCTGGCTAGTCACTTGAACAACGCTTAAAGCTGCCGAAAGGTTTCTTGTTTGGAACTGGACTATTTGCAATTTGTATGTATTTTCTGTTTATCTGATGAAGTAAAGCCCTTGGCAGTCGATGCTCGTATAGCTGCCAAGTTTTAGATAACAACCTGTGTGCGTGCCAAGTGCTTTCTCGTACCCTCGGCTGACTGTGTTTGTGTGTGTGTGGAGACGGGGACAGAACAAGTCCAGCAGTATTATAGTAGACCATACCCATGCATAAAGAGGGTGGGGCTCTGATTGAATTGACACAATACCATCTTGCAGATTTTGACTGGGGGATCAAAATCTCCAAGACAGCATCATGGTATCATGATTCCAACCCCTTTATATGTGTGAACACAATACATGCCAAGTGGTATTGTGTTCATTAAGACTTGACTGGCTGAAGATGTTCATATAGTTTTTCAGATGGATATACCTATCCTTTCTTTTCTTATACATTCACACACAGGAAAAAATAAGAGGAAGAAACCATCCTACAGCAAGCACTGGGGAAGCTTCCAGGACCTCCGAAGACTGTTTCCAACACAATGATTGAGTTGGGAATGGCAGCAGTAGTGGTAACTCTCCCTTCTCCCTCTTTCTCTCTATTTTGCTCTGCTTCTGGTATACCCCTTATTTGGACCCTGCATTTGGATTTTTTTCTTTTGTCTGGATTGCAAAAAACTGCATGACCATTAAACATAACATCAAACAGTAACGGGAAAACTGTAGTTGTTTGTTTCCAGTAAGTGGTCATCCAATTTTTTTTAGCACATATAAAATAATCCTACCCTGTTCAATCAGCTTTACTAAAGGCATGGAGCAAACAAGGTGTAGCCTTTGTTATATTTACTGTATGTCACTAATATTAAGTACATTTTGTATGATCTTAAGATGAGACTAATTCCACAAATTATTCTTATTCACAGCTATCATACACACCAGTGGTTCAGAGATTGAGTTGTTGGTCAATCTCATTATATTGGAAGTATAAAAAGGACGAGGAACAGTTAATCATATGATATGGATTCATCCCAGTATTTTCCTAACTTGGTTTAATAATCATAGGTTTACTAATATGGCATTGCCATGATCAAACAGTACGATGTGAATGTGTTTATAAATCTGGGACATGCTGTATTAGAAGATTGCTGGCTTTATCAAGTAGTATGTGTATGAAGGATGGGATGGGGAGACAGTAAAATAATTACTTTTCAGTGTTGGAAAGACAATGCAACCCCAGATGTACAAAGTTTAATCAACTACACATGGTTACTTTTGGTTTATGAGCTGCTATTTTCAATATAATAGAAAAGCTGATATGTGGTCATGGTTTAATGAAGTGTTTAAAAATTAGGCTGTATTCTTTCCTTTATGTAATATATACAGTATAGCTTGCTTTCAGAAATTGTGGGTGCTCCCTCACTGGAGGCTTTTAAGAAGAGACTGGACAGCCACTTGTCTGGAATGGTATAGGGCACTGATGGTTAACCTTTTCAGCACTGAGTGCTGAAACTGAAGCATGTTGGAGTGCATGTGCGCGCCGGAGCACATGCCCATAGAGAGAACTCTGTGTGCCACCTCTGGCACGCATGCCATAGGTTCGCCAACACGGGTATAGGGTCTCCGGCTTGAGCAGGGGGCTGGACTAGAAGACCTCCAAGGTCCTTTCCGATTCTGTTATATTTTTTTCTTCTTTCCTTTGTTTCTGTAATTTATTTTTTGTATTTTTCTAATCTTTCCTCCCTTTTTATATATTAAAGCAGTAATATGAAAAGTAAAATTAAAAAATTAGTATCTCTGCTGCTAGAAAATGTTTTATCCTTACTGTTCAGACTAATGCTCAGAAACATATGCATAGCTTTTTTTTTAAAAAAAAATCTTCAGTCCTTTTCATTTAAGATGTTAAAGAGTGTTACGATTGTCTACTGAAATTCTGGGTTTGAAGTAGGATTCAGGTCCTTTCTATATGAGGCCTATCTTATAAGGACATTTTATTGGCCTACAGAGTTGCCAAAAGTTTAACTTGAAAGAAAAATCCAAGCTTTTGGGGTTGGTTTGAAGTACAGCGGCTCATTATTTTCTTTATTACTTCCTTGTTAAGATTTTCTGGAAGGAATTCTGCATTTCTTAAACGCAGATGTTTTCAATTAAGGCAACAGATGTTGGGAACTCCTGCTGAACATACTACTGGGAACAGGAAGAAGAAATGTTTTATTTTTCTACAACAATGTTGGTGTATTCTGAAGGATACAAACTAATGTATGAAATTATTAAGGCTTTATCCAATAGTATGGGAAATATATGTTGATTTTTAAAAAAAAAACATATTTAAAGACACAAAATGTGAAAACTCATTGATATTTTCTCTCTATAATCCTTCACACAGTCACCCATTAATTTAAATTAATATAAAAATAGTATGCAAAAGAATTAAAATTGCTTTGATTTGCAATGCTTTCTCAGCCAAGAGAAAAGTTTTGGAAAATTAGTCAGTCCTACAAACCAAAATCTATTAGCTATAGATTGACAGAAGCCACAGAAAATGGCTTCTGGGATGGGTGCTGAGTTTTTTGCCTCCCTTCCTCTCTCTCCCTATATGAAACAAACATAAAAATAATTTCCATTTTTGTTATATGGAAAGATCTAAATGTTTCTTTATATGGAAATAGTTCAATTTGCATGGAAAAGAACAATTTGCTCTCAGTCTGACTCCTCTGTACCCACCCACCCTGTTCTGTTCAATCATCTGTCCTAACAGTCATAAAGTTACAGCTTCAGGCAAGATGGAATTTATAATTTCGTGGAATCCCATGGAGTAATGACTTAAGAACAATGAGGGAAAATAAGATTTCTTACTGAAGTTCCCTTGGAAACATCAACATAAGTAAGTCATTTTGGAATTTTTAAAATGAATGTTGAGTCATGAGATAATCTACCTCTTCCCACTCCCCTTCTACCCCACAAACAGGATCTCTTGTAGGTCTAATCAATTACAGACTTGTGCCAACTCACGTTGAATTGAGTTGTCATTCAAGTAGAGGTGCTCCAGCTTCGGGCTGATGAAGGGGATGCTGGTGAGGTTGTTGTATGCCAAATGCAAAACCAGCAAATTGGTGATGTTGAAAGTGTCGATAGGCAATCCTTTGTCAGACAGTTTATTATAGTTAAGCCTGATGAAGGCCAAGTTGGAGAAATCTTTGAAGTAATTGTTGGGGATATTATCAATTTGATTCTCATCAAGAAAGAGCTGGTGAATGACTTTGGGAACCCCAGGAGGCATCTTACTTAGCCGGTTATGAGCCAGGTTGAGTTGCATGAGGTTCTTGAGCCCCTTGAAAGTATTCTTTTTGAAGTCTCCATTATCCAGTTGATTATGATGAAGATCTAAAAGGAGGAGGTGATCTAACTTGCTGAAAACATTTTCAGGGATTTTGGAAATACGATTTCTGCTCAGCCTAAGTTGCTCAAGATTGGGAGGCAAATTGTTGGGCACTTCCTTAAGGAAATTTTTTTCCATGTACAGAAAGACAAGGTTATCCAACTTATTTAGTACTTGTGATCCCACTGAATCAATGCGGTTGTTGTCCAAACTGATCCACCGCAGCCCTGTTGCATTCTTGAAAGATTCTTCAGAGATCTTGTCAATGAAATTGTTTTGTAGATACACATATTGGGCCCTGGGTGGGATGAGTGGGATTTTTCTCAGGTTGCGGCTGTCACAATAAATGGCTGAAGGAAAATCTGGGGGGCAGAAGCATTCTCGGGGACAATCTGGAAAAACTGAGGGTGGTCCTGGGGGCAGAGGTGGAGGGAAATCAGTTGGTTCAACTGGCTCAGGGAGTGAAGGAGGTGGGCGCTTCTTTGGAGGTTTGGTGCGCCTCTGTCCATTCACCTCACAAATCAGCAAAAAAATGAGTGGGAAAATCAATCTGGCAATCCTCTTCATGTCTAAATAGAACAAGAAGAAAGAGAAGCAAGCATTAAAAAATATACTCCTTCATTCATTTGTTCATTCAATATTAAGTACATATTTTCCTACATAGACTGTTCTTCTTCTTTTGCTTTGCGTTTATGTTTGTAAATAGAATTTTGAGAGCTTGCAAATCTTGTTAAAAACAACAGTTCAAAATATTGGGTAACAACAGGCTGACAGAAATCTGTGATGGAATGTTTGAACTTAGGAGTCAGCCACCTGTTACAACTTAAGTGTGATCCAACTGGGATGGGACAGAAATTTTGATATATATAATCCAATGCTGAAAAAAAAAATCCATGAGGAATGGAGTCAATGAGAATGCTAGTCACATACTTCAAATAGTTGCAGAGAGTTAACAATGATGGGGATACACTACCAATGAACCCTCTTGGATCAGCACATACAACATACAACACGACCATAGAACAGCATTCTCATATCATACATCACATTGCCTTCTGCCAGGTTTTGGATGCAGGTAGTCCTCAACTTACAATAGTTCGTTTACTGACTGTTTGTAGTTACAATAGCACTGAAAAAAGTGACTTATGATTGTTTTTCACACTTACAAGTGTTGCAGCATCCCCATAGTCAGATGATGAAAATTCAGACTCTTGGCTATTGACTCATATTTATGATGGTTGCAATGTCCTGGATCATGTGATCATTTTTGTGACTTTATGACAAGCAAAGTCAATGAAGAAGCCAGATTCACTTAACAACCATGTTACTTAATTAACATCTGTAGTGATTCAGTTAACAACTGTGCCAAGAAAGGTCATAAAATGGGGCAAAAATTCACTTAACAACTTCTGTTTCTCATTTCCTGATTTCCATTATCATATCTCTTGCTTCCCTGACCTTATTCATACTTCACAGATGATGAAGGAAACTGAAGTCACTGTCCATCTCTTTGCTTTGGTCTGTTTTGTCCTCATTAGTGTGGACTTTTCTCTCTGAATAGATCTCTAATCTTTTTCCCAGGAGGGCAATATGTTGCCCCTTGCAGACCTCATCCTTTTTGTATCCTATGCTCCAAACGAATGGTTGGGAACAAGAACAAATACAGGTAGCCCTTGATCTATGACCATATCTGAGCCCAAAATTTCTGTTCCTAGAGAAACGCATTGCCCTCCTGGGATAAAGATTAGAGATCTATTCAAAGAGAAAAGTCCACACTAATGAGGACAAAACAGACCAAAGCAGAGAGACAGACAGTTACTTCAGCTTCCTCCATCATCTGTGAAGTGTAAATAGGGTGAAAGAAGCAAGAGATGTGATAACGGAAAGCAGGAAATGAGAAACAGAAGTTGGAAGGGGTAGTGATGGTAGTTTGCAGGTCTAGAATACATATAAAAATATAAGACATCTCTGAGGCCCTCAGGGTAAACTTTACAAAATAACAAAGCCATGTTAAGGGAAATGGCTTTTTAGTTTATGCCTCCAATTCCAAAACTCAAACACTCCTGCTAATAATTCAAAAGCTGCCTGAATTCCATACTGAGTGGAAATTCATGAAAACATGAGAAAATTCTCATGTTTTCTATAGAAAATATTTCAAGAATACTGACGTGGCTTTTTTATGAACTTAGACCAACATGCCCCAGCACAAGCTTAAAAGGAGGACATTTGATAAAGGGAGGGCAGGGATATTAATCCATAGCTTGGCACATTTGTACTTATCAGAATACTACATTGACAGTAGACTTCTGCATGGCCCAACCAACCATCCTTTTTGGTTCATTGTTCTTTGGCAATCAGGGGACCAGGTCCTATTATCACAGTTAGACAAGTTCTGCAAGGTATTTCCTGGCAGGACTCACTATGCTTTATTTATCTTCCTAATTTTAATTCTTCCCATTACATATTCTAATCCACCTGCCTCAGTTTCTTGGTAGAAATATCTATCTCATTTCAGTGCCTCAAAAAGCTTGCTTGCTTTTTGAGGCACAGTCTCAAAAAGTTCCTAGGTTCACCAAGCTTTCTCCTCATCCTGACCAAATTCCAGAAGCAACCTATCCATCACCCATTATCAACAAAAACACAATGACATACATGGCAAAAGCATATTGCAAGTCAAGAAAAGTTAATCTTGAAAGAGAAAGACTTATATGGGAATACCAAACAATTCCCTGGAATTGCACCCTGGAAGAGTACATGTGTAGTGGAAATTGCTCCATCAATAAAGCTGTAAGGGCAAGGCCTCTTAGGGTTCCAGTTCTGTCCTATCATTGTCTGCTATGACATCGGTAGGATGATGAAGCCTGTCTGGAACAGTGATCCCATGGAGCAGGAGTCAACAACCTTTTAGACCTCAGGGACCAGTAAATTCATAATTTTAAATCCTGCGGACCACTAATATGATCTGCCTAATGACTGGCTGGGTGGGCGTGGCTAGGTGGTCATGTGACTGGGTGGGTTTGGCCAACTCACATTGAGGGGTGCCTCATCGGCCTTTATTTGTCCCTCCCCTCCCAGCCACTCCTCGCCTCCCCACCTGGGCTCCTTAGCGCCCCAACAGGAAGCAGTTGTTGGAGCTAAGCAGCCACCATGAAAAAGAGTTGGCAAAACAGCTCAGTTCAGATTGGATCTCACCTCACTGAGGACTAGGAGCATAGGCTTTCCAAGCAGAGGGAAGACCTGTGGGAGTGCAAGGCCAGGTACCGGCACCTGGAGGCTCAGCGGGCTGAGATGCTCAGCCAGTTCCAGGCCATGATGCAGTCGCACTGGAACAAGGTTCTCTGGCTCTTCGCCATCAGTGGCACTTCCCTCCAGCCTTTGCCCAAAGCCCCACACCAGGAGGCCGAAGCAGACCCCAAGTCAGAATTTCTGCCCCCCTTCGACTCACACAAAAGACTCCGAAGGGGGAGACTCTCTGCAGCATCACAAACATTCATTGCATGTATCTGTCCCAGGGTCCATAGTTTGAGGACCCCTGATTTGCATTTTTATATTGCAATATAAAAAATGCAAATAATTTTTCTCCGGAGCACCAACATTTTCTCGCGGACCACCAGTGGTCCACCGACCACCGGAAGATGATGTGCCACGAGCCCTTTGCCTTTTGGGAAAAAAGTCTGTGGACAGGAAACAAAGACAGAGAGAAAGTAAAATTAGCAATAGCCAATAGCCAGAGAATGTCAGTGTTTGGGAGTTTTTCGTGCTAAGGAAAGAGAGTCTGAAGACAGAATGGCACCACTTGAATGATGGATTATAGCTCATACTTTGCATATCCAGCCCCATTCCTTGGGGATTATTTATATGTATGGATATCGTAATGGAATTTCTTGTTGGTGGTTTCATTTCATTCTGCTCTAAACATCCAGATATGGCCAACGTGCTTACAAGAATCTGTGGACTGGGATTCTCAGTTTAGTCACTGATTTAGTCACTGAGAAGCAAAGCTGTGACTAAAATGGCCTAGTGCCAGCAGAGATTTCTTCCAAAAGGTGAAGGACTCATGGCTCATGATATTCCATGCATTTAGAAGAAAGAACCCTGAAATCTCAACAGCAGTTGCCAGGGTGCTTAGTCTGTTTAGTCCTCCATGGGATCACTGTTCCAGGCAGGCTTTATCAACCTGCCGATGTCATAGCAGACACATGTGGGGATGGCTGCCTCCTCTGCAAGGTAACCTTATCCCCAGCACTCAGTGATGGAGGGGTACAAAGTTATACAGGTAAGAAAGGCACAATCTAAAGCAAGTTGGGGGGAGGGATTATTGCAGCAAATCTAACACAGCAAATGTTGCAGCAAATTTATTGCAGCAAATCTCTTTCACAGGCTTAACTGTGTCAAGTACTTCATCCAGATATCCAACTGGAGCAGGGGTGAAATCTACTTACCTTCCTTACTGGTTTGGAAGTGTGCACGTGCGTCACATGCGCAAGCAGATCCTCTGCGCATGTGCAAAACCTTCTGCGCATGCGCAGAGGGTAAAAAACACATTACTTCCTGGTTAAAACCAGGAAGTAACAACACCCGAGTGGGTGGGCGGAGCCTCGTGCCACCATCGCTACCAGTTCTCCGAACCACCTGCCACAATCGCTACTGGATCACCCGAGCTGGTCCGAGCTGGGAGCATTTCACCCCTGAACTGGAGCCACATGAGTATTGCAGTTGGGATATTGTTGTTTGACCAATTAAAGCAACATGACTGTAAGGATGCTGAAACAAAGAACCATTAGCTATTGTTTAGGTTCCCAGTTGTCCTCTTGAAACAGTTTGTTTTGCTATATGTTCCCTTTGGGTACAAATTTTAATTACTTTAAAATTAATTCTAGTGAATTATATGTCTGAGTAATATAAAGCCAGATGCCTATTTATATTGCTAGAGTGTCATTACTGGGAATTGAAATATGTGATGCTTTCTCCTCTATCAAAGAAATGTTCCTGTTCTTTTAAATATGTATTTCCTCCAAGTAAATCAACAGGAGATATATTTCTGGAGCTGATTTTTTTTATGCCATTAAAATGTGCAGAGTAAGATGAAGTCACGTGTTATCTCCCTTTCTCCCATGATTTCAACATATCTGAACCATTTTTGACAGCAAATCTGAGCAATTTTGCTGATGTATGTCAAATTCCATCAATATAGTAGAACCACCACAAATCTTGTCTATAGTTTTGTTTCCTGAATTCCACAAAGTCTTAGATAGAAAAGTGCATTATTTTTTATGACAACAGCATTTTCCCTAGTTCTTTTTTCAGAGTTGAGAGTCATATCGAATAATTTGTTTATGTGATCTTAAGAAGAATGACGTACAACCATTAGTTTTTATGATTATTTATACATTCCAGAAGCCTACAAAGAATAACCTACCCTATCATGATATCCTTGCTTTTACAGTATCCTTCCATTCTTAAAGCTTATTTCATTCCAGTAATTCATTTTAAGATGTGGTGGCCTTTTCCTAGAGCACTAGCAATGTTAGTTAATACAAAAATATCAGGTTTTATATTCAGTTGCTTTACATTTATAAACTTAGAAAATACTTGGAATTTGAATTGTAATTAACACATGAGAAGTGTTAAAAATGGTTTTTATTACAGTACTTTAATGAAATAGAATATCCACTTCTTGTGACCTAGAAAATCCATCTAGCAAGTTTAGCTGGTCCATCACAAAATGGCTGCTGCAGAAAAATACCCAGGTATTAAAAAAAAAAAAACAAATTGATCAAGGTAAAAGATAAACAATTTGCCCTAAATTCTAAGAATGAAGGAAAGGTGATGTCTGATTTCCAAACTAACATCATTATTCCTTTTAATCCACAGTTCCACCTCTTTGAGGATTCCTCCAAAAATAATTTTTCCCTTTCCAAAACAAAAGCACGTTTTTCTCTCTTTCAGGCTCCCCACCATGAACGCATTCTCCATTTAAAAGACAGATACACATTTGTACATACTTTCCATATAATATTATCCAGTCAGAGGCCATCATGCTCTGTTCAGTCATCATCCAACATACTCCTCTTGTCCTCCAATTTATTACCCTAAATTTAATACCCTCCTCTCCCTTGCCCAGTCAAGTTTCTACATGCCATCCCTCATGGTGCCCATCAGTTCTTCTCATCAGTCTCTGAGGATGGAATTCTATGCCACCTGAATCCATCCAAGATTGCCCACCACTCTGACTATGTTAATTTCCTTTCCTTTCCTTTTCAAGTTATGTTGCATATTGATAGCTGTTGTATGTCACCATCATATTAGATGTTCTTAAATATTGACTACATCTCAGTTGCTGGAGAACCATTAACCTCTAAAATGTTAATACAACCGCTGTCATTTATAAGTAAGCAAGGTAATAAACAAAATATTCATCATCAAATGAAATTTCAAGTAGTGTCATTTTTACTGAAAATTATTCTTAATCCTGATATAGGGATCAAATGTAGCATGTAAATGCATTCAGACTTCATAATCCATAAAAGCACATGTGAGTTCAGACTTTTGTAATCCCTGATCTTTTCTTTGGAAAGTCAAAGTTTAGAAAGTGTGTCTCTAACTGATCCAGTTAGATGGAAAAGGGGATAGAAATAATTAATTCTCCCCCACCTCCCCACTCCTCTACCCCCTTTCCGTTCCATTGTTCCCATAGATGTCTTTTATCTGCCCTTCCTTTCTGTATTTTATGGAAAAGACAAATTGACTTTATCAACTATGCTATTTCTTTGTTTGCAATCTTGTAGCATCCGTTACCAGTTTTGCAATTTTCTGACTCCTTGGGAAAGGAACATACCTGCCTTTTACTAGAGATTTCTTCCAAGCCTTTGAATGAATGTAATTGCATTTTCTTCATTAATGCATTTTTTTTTCTTTTCACCTCGAGCATACAGATGATGAATGCGGCTAACAACTCTTGTGATAAGCTTCCAGTCCTTTCCATCACCCAAGGCTCAAACATTATATTGTGGCTGCCTAAGTCAAACTAGCGCAAACATCTCATTTAACATAGCATTTTCAAAAACATCAAATGATCAGGAAAGGCTCTGATAACCAAGAACATTGAATTCCATTCAAACAAATAATTGAGATTTATAATCCCAGCCGTAAAGAAAATGCAAGCAAACTAAAATCAGCATAGCAAATGTCCTTTAAAGTTGAAAAGAACCTATAAGAAGAGCAGCAGCAGTTAGCTTTGGCTAACAAAAAGAACTAAAAACTAACCTGAATATATGCACCAATGCTTTTAGTGTTTTCATTTTGTGATAGGATGTGCAGTACAAAAGGTTCACATGGGAAAGCTAGAGCCAAAGAAAACAAGTGTGGCAGCAGGAAAAACAACAACTCCATACAAAGACCGTGATGTCTATTCTTCTTGTGTCTTGTGTTCCATCATTTGCTCTTGTTCTCTGCTTGTTACATAGGCTCTAATTAAGGATTATGCCAGGTTAAGAGTGCCAGATCTCTTTACTGAGTGTTTGGCTTTCTGCTGCCCAGATCTGGTAGACCTAATCTCATTCTGCATGTTTTATATGACGACATCAAGATGGAATTTTGTGACATCTCCCAATTTTGAGTTTGCTCTGCTAAACATTTGAGTTTTTCTTTTCTTCTCTACTAGAAGATGACTCCTGCTGCAAAAAAAACCCTGATTAAATGTTGATGGATTATTTCTGTAAATATATTTATATTTCGCTCTTCCTTCCACTATGAGATCACAAGACACATATGTAAGATTTAAAGATCTCTTATTCATGGAATGACTCCAGCTGATCATTGCTTCATATACTTTTAAGTCATATTCTAGGCCTATGCTGCTACTCAATTATGCTTCTGTCAGGCCTTTTGGCAATGTCTAACATCCATTTAGCAGGAGATGTTTAAGCATATAAAAACATAGCACCACTTGTGATCACAGAAAAGAAAGAATATTACTCAGGCCGCAATGCTCAGAGCATTTAACTCCTAATAGACATTGTATTTATCATTTAGAGATATGTGAAGTAAACAGATGGGTTGTTTGTGTCCAAAAGCTTTCACAACAAACAATTTATAGTCTTAGCAAGACAAAACAATGCTCATGTCCTAACACTGGAAATACTCCAACACTATGTGTATTTGGCAAATGATAGCATGCATTGTGAAGAAAAGGAAAGTGTATTGCCTGGTTAGGATATAATGAATTCAGTAAGGTTACTTTCTTGTATTCCTGGAGTTCTCCTACTGTGTATATAAAATTCCTGATGATTCTGAAGTTAGGATTTTTCTTCATACAAATATATATTTTGATAGCAGTGTTATCAAGTGTTTGTACTGAAATCCAGATTGCTTTTAAAAAAAACTGTGGTGAAAATGTGTAAAAAGAAAGTAATTGGAAATATTGTCTGAATGGTTTGTGAAACTTTGGACTTCATTCAATCATATGACATTGGTTAAAGATGGCCCCCAAAACGTATCTGCCCTGTTGACTCTTGTGATATGGGACAAAATAGTTGGAGATAAGTGTGCCACAGCTTCTTTTTCAACTATATCCGATATGGTGGACTCAAGACCCATAAGAACTATCAACTGCACAGGTCCCTTATACAACATTCACACTACTAGAAACATAGTATCTTATATTCCACAATATTAGCAACACTCCTTATGAATAATGGCACAAATTGGACCATGGAGTTTTCCTAAGTGGAACAAGCACTCTGACACTCCCCTTGTGAGAGTCCAGGAGTACCCTAAATTGCATGCTCTTTATGTCTGGAAAATGCTACCCCACCCATAATTAATGGTGAAAAATGCCCAGATTTCAGAGATGAGAAGACCAACTTGAATGTAGTTTGCTTTGATTAAAAGAAAGCATTTGACTTCCTGGATAATCAAATACCTAGAAATAGAGGGAAATAGAAGCATTAGAAGCAATGATACAATGGAAGACACAATTGCTGGACAATGGTGAGTACCATCTACGGGATTTACACTTGTGCAATTCCAGTCATTAGATGTAGAGCAGGGGTGGGTTCTACTTACTTTTACTACCGGTTCACAGCGGGGCCGCGCGCTCTTCTGCGCATGTGCAGAAGCATTTTGATGACATTGGGGTCAGTGGGCGGAGCCTCCCGCTGGTTTAACTACTGGTTCTATAGAACCGGTGCGAACTGGGGGCAACCCACCACTGATATAGAGTGGATATAGTGCATTGGAATCAAGCTAGAATCAAGTAGAAGTAATAGAAACCTTAGAACTGAAGAAGTTAGACACCACTTAGACACCATCAGCTTTGACAAAATCACCACCAGTAATTGCAAAAGGCAGTTTTACATGGAACAGCTTACATCCTGCTGTTCCTTTAATATTATTAAACCTTTAATATTATTAAACAACAATATCTACCTATCCCAGGTCCTTGGGAAGGATTCAATAGGTGGATAAAAATGCCAAATCCAATCTAAACAGATGGCTGAGTGTGTAACCAATCATAATTATTATACAGCAGTAGGGAGACAGTGAAAAAATTCCCAAAATGGGTAGTTAGAACTGGATCTCTCCTGCCAACTACTACTTGGTGGAAGCAAACTCAGTGGACGAATGGCCATAAGAACACCACATCTTCACTCCTAGTTCCCTAAATCAGAATCAATGCGATTGATGGTTATTGAGACACCAAAGAAGGGCCAGGATGAATGCAAAATCATCATCCCAGTTTCACCAAAAAATTCATCAAGATGTGTGATCAGTGCTGCCTTGGAACTATGGCAAAGTCTGAAACTCAACTATTTTAAAATTCAGATTGATGCTGAAATTGAATTCACTTTCACAGCATCTGCAGGTTTGAAATACACCATCCAATATTGTATCTTGCTAGAATTAATTTATTCAGAAAATACAGGCATGGAAGAGCTGATACCACAATGTTTCAAATAATGTTTCAGTCATTTTAAGAACAAAAATATTGAAAATTTCAAGAAATGTATTTAAACTGAGCTGAAAGGGTTTTGGGGAAACTAAATGTAAAGTTCATCAATTTAAAAGTTAAAAACAGGAAATGTTTCCTCCTTTACTATTTGACCTACTTAAATTCCTACTTAGCATTTTTTTCCAAAGTAAACTGGGGAAAATCTGTCATTTACTGTTCTTCCCCAGTTATTCCTGACCTTCAGTTTATCTCAGTTCTGCTTTCCTGCCTTCCAATTATGTGCCATTATGAATATGACTTTAGTTTAACCTCTATTTTTGCATTATCTGTATAGTCTGACTCTTGTTATAAATTTAGCTGGACCTTTCACTTTGATATACATCAGAAAGGAGCATGATAAGAAGCAGAGTTATTCTCTAAGAAATATGAAGGCATCTGGAAAAAAAATCACTGAATGTTACTTGCCCTGGAATACTTGCAGAAACTGTCAGAAAAATCCAACAATGAAGCCTTTTATCGAAAATTTAAAAATCTATCGCTTCTGCAATGCATATAAACATAGGACTAAAAGTATTGAAAAACCATGATCTTGCTTCCTTAAGATTTATATCAAGCAAAATGTTTTTTCAACTTGATATTTTTTGTTCACATGATGAATGAAATAAGATAGCCTACCATGTGACCTGAAAGAAAGAAAACTGTCTATATGAAATTAAGCAAATGCAGAAGCCAAGAAGTTATAAACAAAGATATTTTAATGGATTTTTAAATTAGTGTGTCTGTTATGCAGAGAAGATTGTATTCCAATATTGATAAGTATAAGCTAAATAGAATACAGCAGGGGGCATGGCATATAACACTATAATTTATTTAGCTAAATAGCTTAATCTGGATTCAATTACCTTTTGAGTTTATTGAAGTCTAAAAATATATGCGGGATAAAATGAGTTTCCCTAAATATTCCTGACACATGATATGTTTTCAGATAACTCCAGTGATAATGGAAGGCCCAATTGTTGAAACCCAACAATTTCTCATTATAGCTTCCTAAATATAAAGGATAATAGATTTGCAATTACAAGGTACATTTACTATAAAACCTAGGTAGGTGGAATTTAACAACAAATGACAACTTTTGAACAAAATGTTCAAGTCATCAGACAGGATTCTTTATTATGGAGAACAATTTATAATAGATAACATAGACTTGTCTTGGATAGAGTACAAATTTGTAGGCAGATGTCAGTAATTTTAAAAAGGCTCAAACCAACCTGCCTAAATCCAAAGATTGTGCAAAACCCCAAATCTGCTTTGCATTTTGGAGTTCTGCTATGTTCTAAATAGTGACATTGTAGGGCAGCTAAAGCAAAAAGGGGGAAATCCTCTTGGGATTTGCAATTTGTGTTCTATTATTTGTACCCTAGTGGGAAGGAGGGGAGGAGAAGAACTGGATGCCATGGTCAGCAAGGATCTTTTCTAATAAGGATTATTATTGTGATCAAGTCTGAATTAAATCCCTAATTACAAAATATAGGGAAACAAGGACAGATTTTTTTTTAAAAAAACTTCTACTTTATTGTTTTGACCTTTTCTTTTTAGCAGTTACATAACAATGTTAATATGTCTGTAATTGCCTATTATTAACTCTTTTCTTCTATAGAAAAGGTCAGTATTTAAGATTTTTTTCCTTCAGCATTTGACTGTCAATTGCATCATATACTGAGGGAAGAACACAGTGCAGGTTTTTGATTGAATAACAACAGATCCCACTCCCTCCACTCTGCCCCTATCCTCCCCACACGTCCTTAGGTTTTAATGCTTGGTTTTAATTTATGTTTTAATGTATATCTATAGTTGTATTTATATGACTGTAAGCCACCCAGAGTTACCCTATGTAAGATAGGCAGCCAATAAATTTTATAAAGAAATATAAATAAATACAAGAGTTATCATTCCATACTATTCCAAACCAACCTCATCAACTAGCTTGTGAAATTTGCCAATGTTCATTATACATTTTATCACAGAATATAAGAAAAAATGTTATACAGGGTTAGAATCCCACTTCATCCCTTACCAATCAAGGTATCAAAGAGTCGCGGTGGTGCAGTGGTTAGAATGAAGTACTGCAGGCTACTTCTGCTGACTGCCAGCTGCCTGCAATTTGGCAGTTTGAATCTCACCAGGCTCAAGGTTGACTCAGCCTTCCATCTTTCTGAGGTGGGTAAAATGAGGACCCAGATTGTTGGGGGCAATATACTGACTTGGTAAACTGCTTAGAGAGGGCTGTAAAGCACTGTGAAGCGGTATATAAGTCTAAGTGCTATTGC